GATCTTCACTCTTCACCTACATTAACTACTTTCCAATAAAAACTAACCGTTTTATATATGTAAAAAATATATTCGGAAAATTAGAGAAAAAAGTAAACTAATAGAAGCTTGGATGAAAGCAGCAGGTATCAAAGGAGTGAATTCCGGAATAAAAATTTGTTCACGTCATTTTAATGCACATGATTATATTTCAGCAAGTATTTACCATCAGCCAAAATATATTCGGAAAATTGGAGAAAAAAGTAAACTAATAGAAGCTCGGACGAAAGCAGGTATCAAAGGAGTGAATTCCGGAATAAAAATTTGTTCACGTCATTTTAATGCACATGATTATATTTCAGCTAGTATTTGCCATCAGTCATAACCTTAATATTTAAAACTAGAATCATACTAAAATTATAAAGTGATACGATATAAGTATTTTGAGGTTAAGAACCTACCTGCTGCAATACAACAAAGTTGCAATAATGTGTTTGCAACGTTCTCTTAAATCGGCTTTGCACGTGCAAGTCATTGATATGATATTGCTTAAATCACCCAGAATCACCTCACCAATTATATAACGTGAATCACTTTTTAAATCCGAAGTTTGTAAAAAGTAGGCAGTAAACTTGACGGAATTTGAAGGCTAGCTTCCGGATTTGTTATTTCCGAATTTTATAATGTGATTGGCATTAAAAACACGCTCACCTTCAACGAAATTTCCTTTCCGAGGCTTTGTGTCAGCCCAATCACATATTGTGTCAATACTTATCATTTTATCGTAATTTAAAAACTTGGAAATTGCACGGTACACTATAGGAACTACGATAAATTTTCCCTAATCGGCGCCATGTTTTTAGGCTCCTCCCATTTGACGAATCCCAATAGACGGAAGGACTTACAGCACTTTTTTCATCAAATACATATGTAGTTATATTTAATCGTAACACCGTTTTAATGGCCTCGCAGTTTCTTTTAAACTGCTGCATTAGAAGTTGAAAGTTGGCGTGTGCCTTTTTTCTCTTTAAAAATTATGTTATCACATCATTGTCGCTTCCGCGTGGCCGTTTTGAACTTCGTGCGACAACTTTAAAAAGTGTTTTTTAATTGGAGTAGGAAGCTGTAACGACGTGACGGCCACGATCCATGTGTCACGAGCACAAAGACGGTTAAATAATTTATCACAGGCCACGCATCGTGGTGTAGGTAGGACAGAAAAGAGAGCGAAAACTGTGGACAAAAACTCACCTTATTTATTTTTGACGGGGTCTTGCTAACTGCGCTTTGAGACCTGGGTACTTTTCTCCGAGGCCCTTTTAGGGCGGAACTTTTTCGGGACTTCCTTTAGGTCGCGTTTAGTCTGAAATATAATAAAGCTCGTTAGAGACGTCTCTGTTTGGAATGTACGAATGGCGTTTCTTTTTTCCTTTATATCACGATCCCTTTCAGGATAAAAGAAAATGTCATTTATCATATGTGTAAGTATGTTACATACATTTCCTGTTGGGTCAGTAATAATTTCATTTTATATCCGCATGTTTACTTATTTTCCGTCCACACCTGACAATTTAGACAAATTATTAATTAAAAATTGAATGCTATGCTATAACATCCCGAGTAGAATTTATTTTTTGGAATTCCCTAACTCCAATTGGGTCCCTATTGGAGATTGTTGGATTTGCCCAAATTGGGCATTTCCCACCTATACCCAATAAATTTTGATCTGCGTATTTTAGGGCAATTCCAAACTGCACTTCCGAACTACAATCTTATTGAAAAATAATTAATAATTATTTAATTTATAAATACTACTACATATG